TTTTGAAGGTGGGAGGGTCCCTTTAATGAAAATTGATTTGTTACGCTGCGCGTAATGCTGTCCCTCTAGTCACTCTTATAAAAATCAAAACGTCTGTACGCATGTATGTATGTATGCATGTAACGCGTCAGTTCCCTTTGGCGGGCTGTTGCGCGGCGACGGTGGGGGCTAGGGGGTTGAAATTTTGGTACCGAGTCGCGCGCGTGCAACCATTTGTCGTATTAAATTTTGGAAGGGGTGGGTTCGGTGGTTTGCACCAAGGCTATAGAACTCCAGGTAAGGACACCAGCCGTTTGACCTTGAAAGCCGCCGGCCGGCCGATGACGTCATTGGAGGCAAGCCGGCTCGGCGGACACATCGGGCCAATGTATAACGGGGGGGGGGGGGCGTTGAAACGTTGCGGGAGCCGGGGAGATATTTTAATGTGGTTGCACATAGGTGGAGAATTGTAAAAATCCACGTGGGTGTTGAATCAGTGGCGGTGTTGGGTGCCTTGCCGATGGTGCATGTTGATCGGCTCTATAACATGGTACTCCCAAATCGGCTTTTCTCATCGGATTTCGGTTACTTTTTTGGTCGTCAAAATGATAAACGGAAATGTGTGCACTGTGCAGGGCTTCCTGCTCACTATTCGGCTCGCTAGTTTCTCACAACTGATCTATAGGAACTGTTAACCCTCGCCGGCACAGGCCATTTTGCGTCCTTCGACGGCACGAGGGGGGGGGGGGGTTACGACTAGAGATGTCAATCAGATACCAACTTTTTGGTATACCGATACCAAACCGATGCCAACTTAGTATTTGGTATTTCAATCGTAATGTGTTTGGTATTTTGTTGGTATCATAAGCCCTCACTAACCCGCGCCCGGCTGGGGGTCCTGGATTTCCACGCCCTGCTGGGGGGGGGGGTGTTTGAACACCACCCCTTCTAACTCGGCTCCTGGGCCACGTAGCGATACGCGGAAGGCGGCGTTCGAAAGAGCGTCAAAAATAATGAGGAAATCACTTCGGTCAATTTTTTGGTCAGGTTAAAGGTCAGGTCACCAGAGGTCATTGAAGGCAAATTTTCGCCGATTTCCAGGTCGAATGTCGAAAATTTCCAAGAAGCCAACGCATAACTCGGGAACCAATAGAGCTACAGCGCCGCGGAAAAGCGCATTCGATAGCCCTATTAACGCCCTTTCTGAGTAATTTTCTCAGATTTGACCTAACGTCAACGGTTTTGCCTGCAGGGGGCAAAAACTGCAAAAATAGCCGATTTTTTCGGAAACAGTTTTTCTGCAATAACTTTTGACCCAAGCATTGTACGAGCTTACTTTTACCGGCATCGTGTTCCTCTCGTCAAGACGCATCGAACGAACTATAATTTGACCTTGAAAGGTCAACTTGAAAATTTGACCTCAGGTCAAGGTCATGACCTGACCGGAAAGGGTCATGTTGCATATCAGTCGATCCGTATCGTCGAGCTGAACACATCTAAGGCGTTTTCATCGCTCTAGCATGCCTCTATCAAAAGTTATTTGCGAAAAACTGTTAGATACCATTCGTGACCTAAGATGACCTCAGGGCATAAACAGGGGTCACAGACACCATTTTCATGTTCAGTGTGTCTAAACCACTTGTAATTCAGTGTTTGGGAGTGTTTATAATGTCTTTCGTCCAAAACAGGCGCATTTTAATTTTCTCCCATTGACTTATAATGGTGAGGTCGCAAAATTGACCTGACCTTAGGTCATCGATATCAAAATTCTGAGATAAACATTTTGTACATGCTAATGCTCTTAGCAATCGCTGAAAGTTTCAAAGCGATCGGTCACTCGGTGTAGCTATGACAAACATTGAAACTTTTTATGAGGTGAGGTCACTTCGAGTGACCTGGTGACCTGACCTTGAATGACCTTGGTCTGAAAATTTCACAACATGTGTAGAATTGATGTATGATAAGGTGTACCAAAAACGGCGGCGCTCCGCGCCGCCGTTTTTGAGATATTCGCGAAAAACCACAGGGGGGGGTGTTCAAACCCCCCCCCCCCAGCAGGGCGCGGGCTAATGTATAAGAGGCTAATAAATCGGTAAAAAGTTGGTATTTCCCTCAGTTTCCCAAGTTGGTTTGGTTTCGGTATTTCCCGTGGTTTTGGTTGGTATTTGGTTTGGTATCGGTATTCCGATTTTCCGTAATTGACATCACTAGTTACGACCCCCCTCGCGTTTGACCCTTAATTGAGCTAGAGCCTCGCGGATAAACATCGTGTAGGTCGTCACGAGACGAAGCCAACGGTACACGGTTTTAAGCTCATACTAGGTCAAATGGTGACCTCTGAGGTTAGGTCAATGACCCCAAAAGTCGGGAAAATCGGGACCTGATGGAACGTCGTAAAGTGTGGCTGGCGGCTGCTATGGATTTTTTTTTGTGCTGATCACGAATATCATGTCAGTCTTGATCACAGATGATGTCTTCATGCATTTAGGCCAGGTCGGGTCAGGTCAGATCAGGTCAACCAGTAGGGATCCTGCCGGGTATTCGTAGTAGATGTCAACCGCCTCTGAAAGCTTCGTAACATGTTACGAAGGCACCAAAACTACTTCGTAAATGTTCTAATGGTTGCTAAGTCCGAATTCAGCTCCAAAAACAAACATGTAAAACTCGAAAAAGTGAACCGAGGTCAGCAAAGATTAATGATCTGACCTGACCTTCAGGTGACCTTGATACCCATCCTAATTCATGGGACCAACATCATATCACATGCTTGAACGCTTGAAACCACAAAAAGACTGCAAACACGCGGCTAATGCGAGCCGGCCGACATACGCCGAATCGCGATTCCGGCCAAACATGGTCTCGAAAAAAGGCCACAGGTCAAAGGTCATTTGGGTCAGTGTCATGAAATTTTCAGGGTAGGTTTAAAATTGATCAGCTCGAGGGTACTGAAAGTTTCGTCGCGATCAGCGACTTTTTACGCGAGTTATTTTCGAAAAACCTTAGGGGGCGGTTGCATCAACCCCCCTCCCCCTGTGCCGGCGAGTGTTAAACTAAGAGGCCCCATTTGTCGGCTAGACGTCCCACACCAGTCTGAAGTCTCTATGGATCTCACGCAGGGTTCTGCTGGCCCACGTCGATATTTGGATATTTGAAAGCCCCATTTAGGCCTCTGAGGGCCCACATTGGTTTTGGAAGTCCTATGCTGGAAACTATGATGGCCCCACGGCCCTGGGTCTCTACTCTCTAAAGTCCCAGTCACTCGTTGAAGACTCCACACGGGTGCTTAACCGTCCTCACCGGCCTCCGAGGATTTTTTGATGGGCCAAATTTTCCGGAATCAGATTCTTTAGGCCTACATTGGCAACAGATAAAAACATGCAGATATCTCAGAGTCCACAGTAGTCTGTAACGGTCCTACGAGAAGTCGTACAGAAGCTTCTCAGGACCCAGCCGGCTTCTGAAAACCAAAGCCACTCTGAGGACCAAAGAAGGCCTCTGAGAATTAGTTTCTCACTGAGAAACTCCAGGGCGGCCTCCGTGCAGGGTCAAACCCGCATGAGATGATCCCACATCGGCCTTTGAACATGGAGCCCCACTAGGCCGGTGTGCACCTCAGGAGTCTGTGTGCATGGGCCCTCAGAGGCAGTGGCGGCGGAAGAGAGGGTGCAGGTTGTGCAGGTGCACCCCCATTCAATAAAAGTAGCGGTGCAATTTTTAACAGGTCCCGATTTTCCCGACTTTGGGGTCATTGACCTGACCTGGAAGGTCAACCGATGACCTAGGACCATAAAATTGGGTGTCATCGGCTTCGTCTCATGATGGGTAACACGCTCGTTTTTCTGCGAAGCTCTAGCTCGATCAGGGGCCAAACGCGAGGGGGGAGTCGTACCAACCTCCCCCCCCACAGTAATGCAAATGGGGTTCACGAGTGGCCATAAATACGAAAAAGGCCCAAAATTAAAGTTCACTTAATCGAATAAATCGTAATATGGTCAGAAAGTTTTCGCTACAGAAGTTTTCGTCCGGCACGGTCGGGTGCTGCGGCGCAGCGGGCGGCCCGGGCGGCCGCGCCGCCGCGCCGCCCGGACGCCGCGCGGCGGCACCCACCCGCCCACTGCGCGCCCACTGCTGCACCCGACCGCACGGACAAAAACCTCTGTAGCGCCGGTCAGCCCTGTGCTAGCACCTTAATTCTTTCACGATGCGACTCAGAAATGATTAGGGAAGGCTATGGTATGGTGGACTAACGAGCACACACTGCGTTAAGTGCTGTAGGTGAAACGAAAGCATTTTTTTTTCTTAGTACAAAACTGCGATTGCAACATGATGATAAATAGTCAGGTTACCGCCAAAGCGAATGAGATACGGCTTTTTGTGACCCGGCATTAGAAGCAGAAGGCTTTGGGGATCATTCCCATGCATAATTTTTTCAATTTGTACGAAATGAACGCAAACCAGCGGTGTTTGAACTTGCGAGTGTCTGACCGTCATTTTACGACCTAGAAAATGTCACGACTTCTGACGATTATACACGAGGCCGGTTTTGACAAAAACATGAAAGCCATGTGATTTCAGATGCCCCAAACATTTGTCTACTCGGCCATATCGCAATTAACTCGATTTGGTAAACTTGACTTTTGGGTATTTATGGCCACTCGTGAACCCCATTTGCATCACTGTGCCCCCCCCCCCCCTTGTGCCGTCGAAGGACGCAAAATGGCGTGTGCCAGCGAGGGTTAAGACAAAAACTAGTAAGATCCTGGTCTCCAATACGCCTTTTTACACCACATAATCCACAAACAAACAAAGGCATTAGCTCACAAGTGTTTGGCAGGTGATGTTAAGCATGCGAGATGGTGTCTATTAGCGCATTTAGGTCTTCGGCTTTTTGGGGGAGGGGTCAAATCACTCTCTCGGGGCTTTTGGGGGGGGGGTCATGACCCCGTGGATCCCCCGCAGGATCGGCCACTGACCAGCTGACCGCCCCCCCCCCCCCGCTGCCCCCCCCCCCCCCACGGCAGGCCGGCCGACCAGCCGAGTGAGCGGCGCACACGAGCAGCTGGTGCGGCGTGGCGCCTCCATGGAGCAGCACAACGGCTGGGAGCAGCCGGCCTGGTTCGCCGCGGCCGGCACCCGGCCCGCCTACCTGCCCAGCTTCCGGCGCACCAACTGGCACCGGCGCGTGGCCGACGAGTGCGCCACGGTCATGGAGAGGGTGGGCGTCATTGACCTCACACCATTCGCCAAATTTTACCTCTCTGGTAAGCAGAACGCCGCCAAACTGGCGAGATCGGCCAGCGAACTATGGTAGGTACTAGGTAGGTACATTCGGCTACAGGCTGATGGTCCACTGCTCTTTATTCACCGAGTTGAGGCGGGTTCCTATGGCTCAGCGCTGGCAGCAGCCGCCTGGTACCGATAAGCTGTGCCGCATGACCTGAGAGTTAACCGGCACAGCCTACCCACACTGTATGACATTCCACGTCAAGTCGCACAAAAATGGGCTATTTTTATTTTGCACCTTAGGTACCATCAGCGATTACATTATAAATTTGTCTCTCCGGACAAAATATCGATTTTTTTGCACATTCTGACCACAGCTCTTTTAAATATAGAGCATTATGTTTTTGAAAAATATCGCACCTTTATATTTTGAAGGCCTATATCTTTGGATGTTCATGTTGGATTTCAACGAAATAAACTACATTGTTAAGATCATTTCTTCAACATGTATTTGAAATGACCTCAAATATATGACTTAGAAATTTGCTTAACTCTGGTCTTAAGTACAAAAATGAAAATAGCAAAAAAAACACGTCACCTCCGATTTGGCTCATATATATATATATATATATATATATATATATATATATATATATATATATATATATATATATATATATATATATATATATATATATATATATGTTACAGGCAAAGTGAAAACTCGGGCATTTTGCAAAATGCCTAGGCAATTTGCAAAATGCCTGACCGGCCAGGCATTTTGCAAAATGCCCAGGCAGTTTGCAAACTGCCTGGCCCACCAGGCATTTTGCAAACTGCCTAGGCATTTTACAAAATGCCTGACCCGCCAGGCATTTTGCAAAATGCCTGGGAGTGGGTTTTCATATATTCCACCGTTTTTGTTGACTACAGGCGTTGATCATAAGCGTTCCACTGTGACTGACCCCACAACACATTTCACATGTGTTGTGGGCACATCTGCGGTCACGAATACAGGGTGTCACGAAATTGTTGCGAGATGTTGTGCTTGTGTCCCGAAATGTATTGCATCGTAGTTGCGTTAGTGTTCTCCAGCACCTCGCTGACAAGTTATCAGCGGCCACATGGTCTGTCCCCGCGGCACCTGGTGAAGCTCAAATAGGCCTCTGTAGCCCATCATGCCCCAAACGAGAATCCCCAGTGCCCAGTGAGTGCTTCACCGTCTCGACGGTGCAGCGCCTCTGAGCTGCTGTTGGCCCAGAACTGCTTGTCGGGACGGTTAGTGACTAAGAAGAGCTCTAATAGCCGTTTTCACGACGGGCTATCCGGCGAGTGCACCTAATTTGACCAAATCTGCACCTAATCTCTTTTACAGCAAATATATTTATTTTATGAATTTATTTCAGTGTTTTAACCGATGATGCTCTCTGATAATATGACAAAGGAGGCATCTAAGCAATTAGTACCTACAACCCTAGCTGATAGCTACTAAGAGACACACTGAACCTCATTTGACCAAATATGCACTTAACCCGCGCCCGGCTGGGGGTCCTGGATTTCCACGCCCTGCTGGGGGGGGGGTGTTTGAACACCCCCCCCCTTGTAACTCGGCTCCTGGGCCACGTAGCGATACGCGGAAGGCGGCGTTCGAAAGAGCGTCAAAAATAATGACGAAATCACTTCAGTCAATTTTTTGGTCAGGTCAAAGGTCAGGTCACCAGAGGTCATTGAAGGCAAAATTTCGCCGATTTCCAGGTCGAATGTCGAAAATTTCCAAGAAGCCATTGCATAACTCGGGAACCAATAGAGCTACAGCGCTGCGGAAAAGCGCATTCGATAGCCCTATTAACGCCCTTTCTGAGTAATTCTCTCAGATTTGACCTAACGTCAACGGTTTTGCCTGCAGGGGGCAAAAACTGCAAAAATAGCCGATTTTTTCGAAAACAGTTTTTCTGCAATAACTTTTGACCCAAGCCTTGTACGAGCTTACTTTTACCGGCATCGTGTTCCTCTCGTCAAGACGCATCGAATGAACTATAACCTGACCTTGAAAGATCAACTTGAAAATTTGACCTCAGGTCAAGGTCATGACCTGACCGGAAAGAGTCATGTTGCATATCAGTCGATCCGTATCGTCGAGCTGAACACATCTAAGGTGTTTTCATCGCTCTAGCATGCCTCTATCAAAAGTTATTTGCGAAAAACTGTTAGATACCATTCGTGACCTAAGATGACCTCAGGGCATAAACAAGGGTCACGGACACCATTTTCATGTTCAGTGTGTCTAAAACACTTGTAATTCGGTGTTTGGGAGTGTTTATAATGTCTTGCATCCAAAAGAGGCGCATTTCAATTTTCTCCCATTGACTTATAATGGCGAGGTCGCAAAATTGACCTGACCTTAGGTCATCGATATCAAAATTCTGAGATATACATTTTGTACATGCTATTGCCCTTAGCAATCGCTGAAAGTTTCAAAGCGATCGGTCACTCGGTGTAGCTATGACAGACATTGAAAGTTTTTATGAGGTGAGGTCACTTCAAGTGACCTGGTGACCTGACCTTGAATGACCTTGGTCTGAAATTTTCACAACATGTGTAGAATTGATGCATGATAAGGTGTACCAAAAACGGCGGCGCTCCGCGCCGCCGTTTTTGAGATATTCTTGAAAAACCACAAGGGGGGGTGTTCAAACACCCCCCCCAGCAGGGCGCGGGTTAATTAATCTGCACCAGATGTTAACCAAATGTGTACCAGATGGCCGTCGTGAAAACGGCTAATATCGCCTCACGGCCTCGTCATTAAAAAGTCTGAATCTCTAGTTCTGAATAGTCCAGATTTGGTGGGTTTTGTCGAAATCTAGCTGCACCACTAATGGATGACGATAAGTCAGGGTTGCAGCCTGATGTTGAGAGGCTTCAGCTTCATGGTAAAATCTTCAGATACCGGGGGATGGCCGATTTAGATGCCCTGGTGCCGGACCCGTTCAAATTACATCCATTCAGCACTTAGGAGGGGCATGGAGGGACAAGACCGCGTATATATATATATATATATATATATATATATATATATATATATATATATATATATATATATATATATATATATATATATATATATATATATATATATATATATATATATATATATATATATATGTTACAGGCAAAGTGAAAACTCGGGCATTTTGCAAAATGCCTAGGCAATTTGCAAAATGCCTGACCCGTCAGGCATTTTGCAAATTGCCTAGGCAGTTTGCAAACTGCCTGACCTACCAGGCATTTTGCAAACTGCCTAGGCATTTTACAAAATGCCTGACCCGCCAGGCATTTTGCAAAATGCCTGAGCTTCCATATATTCCACTGTTTTTGTTTACTACAGGCGTTGATCATAAACGTTCCACTGTGACTGTGCCCACAACACATTTCACATGTGTTGTGGGCACATGTGACACATTCCACGATCACGAATACAGGGTGTCACGAAATTGTTGCGGGATGTTGTACTTGTGTCCCGAAATATATTGCATCATAGTTGCGTCAGTGTTCTCCAGCACCTCGTTGGCAAGTTATCAGCGGCCACGTGGTCTGTCCCCGCGGCACCTGGTGAAGCTCAAATAGGCCTTTGTAGCCCATCATGCCCCAAACGACAATCCCCAGTGCCCAGTGGGTGCTTCACCGTCTCGACGGTACAGCGCCTCTGAGCTGCTGTTGGCCCAGAACTGGTTGTCGGGACGGTTAGTGACTAAGAAGAGCTCTAATAGCCGTTTTCACGACGGGCTATCCGGCGAGTGCACCTAATTTGACCAAATCTGCACCTAATCTCTTTTACAGCAAATATCTTTGTTTTATGAATTTATTTCAGTGTTTTAACCGATGCTGCTCTCTGATAATATGACAAAGGAGGCATATAAGCAATTAGTACAGCCCTGGCTGATAGCTACTAAGAAATACACTGAACCTAATTTGACCAAATCTGCACCAGATGTGAACCAAATGTGTACCAGATGGCCGTCGTGAAAACGGCTAATATCGCTTCACGGCCTCATCATTGAAATGTCTGAATCTCTAGTCCTGAATGGTCCAGATTTGGTGGGTTTTGTCGAAATCCAGCTGCATTACTTATGGATGACGGTAAGTCAGGGTTGCAACCTGAGGCTGAGCGGCTTCAGCTTCAGGGTAAAGTCTTCAGATACCGGGGAATGGCCGATTTATGTAGATGCCGATTGCCCTGGTCCAAATGCCCTGGTGCTGGATCCGTTAAAATTACATCCATTCAGCACTCAGGAGGGAGGGGCATGGAGGGACAAGACAGCGCCAACCGCGCATCAAGTTCGTGACACTCTGTATACCTACGTCTTGCGTCATTTCTGTCGAGATAGAGCCACCGCTGAATGGACATGAGCCACCGTCTCCGTACCTTTCGTATATACGGAGTTGTAGCCGTGTGTATAAAAGCTGCGATATCCAGTATTCTACCCTCGTGGGCAACTGTTCCGGCAGAGACGATTGATAATGTAAACGTGTAACAATCAAATTTTCTTAAATTGGAAGAGCATTCTTTTCTGATTAATATCCACCCATAGTATTTTCAAAAAGCCACCAAGAGCTCTTAGAAACAGTACAATCATTGTACCGAACGCATGTTTACCCACGAAACCACGCCCGGTGCTCGGCACCCGACGGCCGATAGGGCTCAGTGACCTCGGCGGCCGGCTACCCGGAGAACGCAGTGTCCCCTCCCTCACTTGGTGCGCATTGACAGCAATTAACTTTTGTAAGCGGCAGTTACAAATGATGCTTACCTATGCATCGTCCCTAGTGCGAGTTTGATGTCAGGCATTTTGCAAAATGCCTGGGAAAATATTTCAGGCAGTTTGCAAAATGCCTGGTGGGTCAGGCAGTTTGCAAACTGCCTAGGCATTTTGCAAAATGCCTGGCCAGTCAGGCATTTTGCAAATTGCCTAGGCATTTTGCAAAATGCCCGAGTTTTCACTTTGCCTGTAACATATATATATATATATATATATATATA